GGTAGAGTTAGATTTTTTGGACATAGCACAGTAAAGTTAGATTTTTTGGACATAGCACTGTAGATTTAGATTTTTTTGGATATAGAATGATAGAGTTAGATTTTTTGAATATAGTATAGCAAAGTTAGATTTTTTGGATATAGTATAGTAGAGTTAAATTTTTTTAACATAGTTGGATTTGGGACAGATAGTATGGTAGAGTTAAATTTTTGGATATAGCATAGTAGAGTTAGATTTTTTGGATGTAGTATAGTAAAGTTGAATTTAGAATAGATAGTATAGTAGAGTTTAATTCAGGACAGATAGCATAATAGAGTTGAATTTGAGACAGATAGCATAGTAGAATTGGATTCAGGACAGGTAGCATAGTAGTAGATTAGTAGTATAGTAATTAGATTCAGAATTTAAAATATGATATTTAGATTAGTAGTATAGTAGTTAGATTTAGGATTTATAGTATAGTAATTTGGTTTAAGATTATTAATACAATAGTGAGATATAATAGTAATAAATAAAAAATTATAAAATATTTTTGCAATTTTTTTTATTTTTTATTTTTTATATATATTTTGTATTTTTTTTTATTTTAACAATTGTTATATTATATAGCATACTGGTATTAAACACAAATCATATAATTTTCAATATCAAATATTATTATTTATTTTTATTTATTTTTTTTTTTAGATTATTTTTTTTTATTATAATTCAGTTAAAATTCGAATAAGATTCTAGAATCATCTGACTGCTGATTATTTCTAAATAAAGTGCAGGTTATTGATAACTAAATTAGAAATATGCCCTGACTGTAATACTAGAATACTTCTTTTTTAGTTAGTTCACATTTTCAAAAAGTAGAGTGTAGAGATATATTAACGTTAATAAGTTAAGAATAGATTTATATCTGCTGGTTGTACAAAAGCTTTTTTATAGATATCATAGGTAGTTGTTGACTTTTATTTTAGTAAGTATTAATTAGTATTGATTACAGTATTGATGCAGATATAACAATTAATATATTTTTTTATTCAATTTGAGTGATGGCAAAAAAAAATTATATTTAGATCATATAAAATTTATATGATTGAAGTTTGGTTTTCTCTTGGTGTTTCTATTTTTTATTAATTCTTATCAAGAATATCATCAATAGACTATTTGCCTTCTACTTGCATACTACTTTGTTCTGATTCAAGTATTTCTTGGCTTCTTTCAAATGCTTCGAAGTCGAATAATTCTTCTATAAAATACACATCTTCTATGTCTACTATAACTTTTTCCAATTTTTCATCTAACACTTCTAGAAGCTTATCCTCTTTATCAAAAAAGATACCAATACTTTCATTATCACAGATTAAAAATTCAATGATTGCTTTATTCTTCTTTTTCATAGACACAGCTTTTTTAAGCTCACTTCTGAGCTGCCCGATAATTGAAAGATTATCTGGAGTTAATCTATTTCTTATTTTTGATTTGACTAATTCTAATGATAAAAAAAATCACCCACAACTAGCTGCGTAGGGAATAATAGCAAAAATTTTTAACACAAAACAGAGTAAAAGAAGAAAATTACTAGTAAATTTAGTCCAGAATGATTGTAAAGATTGTGAAGAATCAGAAAAGGTTTATCAAATAGAGAGTGATTATTATTATAATTAATTAATTCATTAAGCAAAAGGATTGTATCTTGTTTGCTAAAATGCTAAGTTTTAGCTAGTTTAAGTAAAGTATGAATTAATTTATCTTCATTCATTTTTCTAGATATTGCAAGCCACTTATAGGTTGGAGAGAGAAAAGATGCAATAAAAAAAATATCACTATCAAATTCTCTGGCACGTTTGCTAATAACGGCAAGGGTATAAGCTTGAAGACTATTAATAGAAACTTCAGCTGAAATATTTGTCTATAAATATAGATAAGTTCTTTAAATATATTAGCTAGAGTAGAATTATTTAACTCTAGCCTTCCAATAGCATCGACTATTGATTTTATTACTTGTGTAAGTATATTATCATTTGCAAAATGATACTTGTTACAGATAATATTTTTAACTGATATATTCTCAATTTCTGGATATTTAGACCATGAATATTTACTTAATGAAAAAAAAATTAGAAATCTTGTTCATAGATAGATATACCTATACAAACTTTAGCTAATGAATACTATCAGGTTTTGCAAAATGTATTTAAAAAGTATCTGATTACTTGCTCTTTTGCCAGTTTTGTAACTTTTGATATCATATATATAATAAATTAAAGAAATTGACAAGCTTCTAATTTTTTTTACAGATTGTTATAATATCAGAAAAACTAGAAATATCCTTGATGATTAGATTAAAGATGTGCAAATAACAGCGAATAGAGATGATATTAGAAAATTCTTCTTAAATATAATGATTTTAATAATTTGATGTAATTATTCAAAATAAAAAAAATTTTGCGCTTATATAATATAGCTATACTTGGGTTATTAGCCAGTGAGATATTATTTAACAAAAAATAACCTATGTATGACTGTATAATAATTTTATTTAATTATATACTTACATTAAGTAATCATCTTATTTTGCCCATATTTGATGGGTTATCCATAATACAGATGATAATAGATAGTATTTTAATGCTATTTACAGATAGAACTTCCTTTAATTTGTCTTTAAGAAAATTACCTGTATATCGATATGCTAACAATTAAGTATATCTATTACCATTTCTTTATTTTTTTTAAGGGCCATAAATCTATATATTAAATTTCCTAAATTATCTGTCCATCTATAACGTTCAACATTCCCCGTACATAGTATACTAGGTACTGGTTAACGGCAAGACAGGAGCTAGACCCCCCATGTACTTTGTCCCCAAAGTACAGATCTCTACCAATTTGCGAGTTTCTCTAAATTTCCGAACCTTTTCTAACCACTTCTCGCAAGAATTATCAAGGCTTTCCCTATATTTGGTAAGTATTTCATCATTAACTTTACTATCAACTACGACTGCGCACGCTTGATTTGTTTAACATCAATACCAATCTTTCTTACATTAACATCATAGTCTCCTTTACATTCATATATCTGCTTCCACATATATTGTTTTTCAGTTCACCACCAACAACAAACAACCAGGAAGTCCACAAGATCAGACACAAACGGTATCAGCCTATTACAATCAATATTCATAGATCCATGTTGGAGAGTCTTCATATATTCACCCTTTTCAATCCCTATCCCATTTCGATAACAATAACTATTATTGTCCATTCCATCAGTATTTTTTATTTTAGTAGCATTGACCTTTTCAATTTCCTCAACACAACTCATATCGGCGGGCTCATGAGGATCATTAAATACCTTGTGTCCATCAATTTTGATTCCAATGCCATGATGGCAACAATTACCAGGTTCGTAGGTTTCATCCATCTTGGCTAATCTTTGATAATTAATGGATGCCTTATGTTCAACATTTTCATCAACGATTCTATTTTGATAACAATATATCTGGTCTGCTGCTTCATCAGTAGAACCTATCTCTGCTAACTCTTGATGACTAATGAATGCCGAATGTTCATCCTTTTCAAAACCGATCCATCCTGGTCGCAACTTCCAAGACTGCATGTATGGCTGACATGTTTTATCTTTGTGGGTGTTTGATGATGAATAAATGCTTTTCAATTATCCTTTTTGGTATTACTTTCATAATTTACATCATCCATATTCAACAACAGGAGATCAACTTCGATTTTCAAATTATCCAGCCAATGATTATCTACTTTGATGGTCGTATCATCCCTGTTCTCGACATCATCAGGTTTGCTACAACATTTTTTGTTAATTTCACATTCCCAATTTTCGCTGTTACTAAAATATGCATTTATTATATCACAGGTCACATTATCTTCGACACCCATTTCATTTCGATAGCATTGATCAGGGTCATTCGTTACAGCAACATTTCCTATCTCAGTTGATCATTGATACCAAGTAAATACCTTACTGTCCTTTTCAACTTAAGGTAAATTCTTCTTTTCAACTTTAATTTTTTTGACTTCAGCATCAGCTTTAACTAATGTATTTCCTATTTCTATTCCTTGCATCTCACCATCATTGATTTCTGCTTCCAATTCCAATGCCCATTCTTTTGCTTCATTGTACTTTATTGGACACATTGATTCAACCTGCCATCGGTACGATTCACATAAACCGAAAGTATACCAATACATTTCTTCATAGTTCTTGATCATCGCTTTTACTGGAACCACAAGCGATTCATAACGGTAAGTATATGCTAGTATTGATTCATCGTCTCTTTGCCTTATATTCCACACCTTATTAATCTTTTCCTCAATTTCTACAACCTCTTTTATCATTGCCTTCTTCAAACTGTACCACGTATTACATGCTTTAATCATCTTGTATATCCACAGTCTTTGGTTCTTCGATATATACAACACAACCCTATTTCACTTCATATTATCGTTCCACCTTTTCAATTCACCATACCTCTCGAAATCCCAAAGAAAATCTACCAGTTCAACAATACCATGATCATAAAACGGTTTTACAAGATCATCAGACTTCAAACACGTTATACTATCATTTTGCCGTTTTCTAGGTAAGATCGTTTTTTGTTGCTTCATATTATTGCCCTTATTATCACACTTTACTAACATCGTTCTTTAACTTGCAAATACACCGCAAGAGAACTTCACTTGGTCCTTGACTTTCGTTTTCAGGCTCTCAAAGTCTTTGCCTTGAAACTTTAACGCTTACTTCAACAAGTTCGCGAGTTTCACTGTTCCTTGTACTTCTCTTTAACGAAACTTTAACGCTTACTTCAGTGAGTTCGTGAGTTTCACTGTTCCTTGTACTTCTCTTTCATGAATTACCACCTAGCTTAACCAAATTCTTTGATCCAAGAACTTAACTGAGCACTTCAGCGAGACTTCTGTTCACTTGCCCAGGTTCTACCTTGTCGTGCGGGTTCGCAATGAAGGGTGACTTCACTGTTAATCTAAC